CTACTTCATGTAAGGGGGGGGGAAGTGGACTTTGCATTTATTGTTGGTTTTCTCCATTTCAAACTTAAGTATTTGCATTTCTTACTTTCAAGTGCTTACTGTTGTCAGGAATAACTCCAAAGTTCACATTTTCATGGTTGTGCTCTATAAATTCCTTGATGTTTCACTTTGGTTAGTTCAGCACTGAGTGAAAGCATTAGTCATAGATGAGAAGCTCTCTCCAGTCAGCAGTATCTTCTTGGTACAGGTATTTTACTTGTAGGACGTACAGTTATATTAAAGGTAAACATAAGGCCATTTATATGGTATTACAGTCATACACTATGTGGCTAGAAAAACTGACCTCAGTGTGAAAGTGTGTAAGCCATGATGGTTGTCAATAATCAGGAAAGGTTATGGCTTACTGCATTAAAATGATGTTGTGAATGTTAGAAGAAGCCTTTTCAGGTGAAATGAAATTAAATGAAATTTTGTTCCATTACCCCTTTTGAGAAAAATGTTAAGAGTTACAGTAATTGACTCCTGTTGACAGGGCAGCAAAGGAGTTAATGAATTAAATGCAATGTTACTAATTTTGATTGATACTGTATAATTATGATGTCAAAGGTATTTGAATTTGTATCAGGCTGTAAATCTGCATCAGACTTCTAGTTTACCCTTGATGAGAGGAAAAAACCAACACACAAAATGAGGAAACCCAGACACCCCCCTAACCTTAGCTGAATCTCCCTTCATTCAAAAATTGAAGTATAATTCAATTTCAAATATCTTTTTCTATACTGCTATTTTACAAACAGGTATAAGAAGGTTAAAAAGTTTCACTAGTTCAGCTTTCTTCTTTGTTAGTAGCATATCTCTGAGAAATTCCTGAAGGTTTAGTGTCTGAAAAGCAAAAGGTAAATATTCTCTCTGAATTTTGATGTTAGCAGCAGCAGAGAATCCCCCGACAGCCCTCCGTGCTCTTCTAGGGTTTTTTCTTTCCTAATAGCCTTACTTTGACTGGAGATCTTAGAGCCTGACAGTAAAAGGCAGCCTTCCAAACTACCTTGAGCTGTTCTGTTCTCACTAAGAAGAAATAAAACTTCATTTTTACCTAAAAGCGAAATTTATGGAAGAATACAAGAGATCAGATTATTCTGGCAGCGACTCTTGAAGCAAATGTTCTTTAGCTTGACAAGCCAAGCATGAAAGGATACACTTTATTAGAGTGCAAATTCTATATATGTGATTTCATTTGTTGTGTAATATTTTAATGCACTTTTGGTTTTATTAGAATTATATGTATATTAGTATGTAGAGAGGCTTTATTAATGTGTCAGAAATAGCATCTCACTATTCACCAGGGTGAAAGGGAAGATGGCTGTAATTTCAAAGTTTAGTAGGAGTCTATATACCTTATTTTAAAATAAATGATTCAAATTTTCCTAGAATAAGGGATTTCAATTCTTACTACTTTTTATACACCTTTATTTTTTTGTACTTGTTTCTACATCGCCTTACTACTTTTCTTCTGTGTTTTTCACCGTTTCATGTTCATTGTTTCAGATCCTCCTTTTTTCTGGAGGTTTTAACTGCTGCTGAGTTTTATACCTCCCTTTTTGTACTTCATCCTTTCCTGCTTTTCTGGCCCAGAAGAATTTGTGCCTCAGCGAGTTTCAGGAGCAACTCTCTCGTCTTTTAAGAGTAATTTTAGGAGCTTAGCTGCTAAAGCTTCTAAGCATGCTGCTTTTGCTTGCCATATAGGTTTGTGTAAGTCAGCTGGCTTGGTGGTTTTTAAAACCCTGTCTTATCTGTGTTTCTGATGTGTATGAGTAATAGCTATTAGTGCTTAGCAATCATACAGTTGAAAAGATGTATAAAAATGGAGTTTACTTTGTAGTAATGTTATTTATCAGTTTCTGGCATTCAGCATCTTCAGTGACGGCATACGTTTGGCTGGAGATGAAACTTAGAACCCTGTGAAAGCTTTGTTTGGAGGTGGCCTTCCAGCAGTACTGCTCTGTAGGCTGTTCTCTGTTGTGGCAGTGTGCTGTAGGTGCAGGAATTCAGTCATCTGCTAGGGGCACAGGGCTTTGAAAATACCAGCTGAAACACTCAAGGGAATTTGGTGCTGAAGTCCTATCCCCTTGTGACTGGGTTTGCAAAATAGGTTGCAGGCTGGTGTCCAACGCCATGGGAGCAGCATCATCATCTTTTCCCTGCAATGCATCACCTCATGTTTGTTGAAGTTCATTGGTGAAACTTGTCCTGGCTGTCTTCATTCCTCTGGTAGTAATTACAGTAATAATGTCAAAAGCCTTTTGTTTTTATTATGAAGGGAAAGACAGACCTATTAAAAATATTTTCATAGCTTTATGATGGCACGAGAACACTCTAGGTAGACTTCTTTATTTAGAAATTATAATGCGTATAGGTGGTGCCTTCCTAAAGAAAACTGGGAAGGATCTTTTCCACTGATGCTTATTCCTTCTTTCTTTTGAAAATCTGGATTAGTTAATATGACATCTTGACAGGCCTGCTCACTTTTCTTGGGAGATGAATGGACTGAAGGCTGTGTAGGCTAGTGAGGAAATTTTTTTTTTTCCAAAGTGTCTGTGAGAGAGAAACATCTGAACTTCTTGCAGCTATTTTTTAGCGGTTTTGAATACTGTTAGATTCTGCTGAGAGTAAATGCTAGTTATTCTTAGTGTTTCTAGAGAGCATTCTCTTGCCCCTTCTTTTTTTGAAAAGGCTTTGGCTACAATTTCAATACTTCCTAATGTTATTAATTATATAAGGCTTCTAAAGCTTTGAACTGCTGTTCTGCAGGTGACTTGCTGCTCTGTGAGAATAGCTTTTGCAGGATGCGTCAGAGAAGTGGGGGAAGTGAAGCATCCCCTGGGTAGGTGGTGGATTCTGAAATCAGGGGGATGAATCTGCAAGGATTCCTCATCTTGCTTGTAGTACTGCATATTGACATCTGGAACGTAGCAAACAATCCTTTGAATTCTCTTCAAGCAACACATTTTAATTCTTCCAAGGGTGATGTAAGAAAATAGCCTTTTTCAGTAGAACCAATTTCTTCTCCCCTGCCCCCCCCCCCCCTTTCCCCCCCCCCCCCTTTACGTACGCCTACACCAATGTTTTTTCAGCTCTGCAAGTGTGTTTTTTCTCACTCTCTCTGCTGTGTAGGCGGCCTTCCCAATCACAATTGAGCTTCACAGGCAGTCTTTTAAAAAAAAAAAAAAAAAAGTTGTCTTTACGCAGCAGGTCTATAATTTAACACCAAAGAAAATGGAGAGTTATGGGTTAGAATTACAATGGATCTTAGTAATGCTAGATAGATGAAGAATTTTTCCCTAAAGAAAACAAGGAAATTTTTTCTTGACCAGAAGGCCACCACCTGTGGAAATTATTTGTGTGCCTGCTACCCAAATGACTTGCCAAAATGTCAGTAGCAATCACAGGCAGACAGGTTTTAAACCTTTTACTTGCTTCATTAGACTGAGTTATAATTGAACTTTTCTACCCCAAAATTAGAATGTGATTCTACTTGAAAGAGACAAGCTCAGTTTGTTGGTAATATGAAAGTTAAAATGCAGTTCTTCCTGGAATGTTATGTTATTTTAAACATGAGTTTAGGTCTCTCTACCTTTTGGAAACTGCTTCTGTTGTACTTGATAATTTTTTTTTTTGTACTGCAGCTCTTTTGATGATGCTTCTTGTTTTTCCAAGGTCTTAATTTCACACATTATTTTGTAAATAAGCCTAAACTGAACTTGCAATAAAAAAACCCAACTGTGAAAGTTATATTATTAATTGCTTAAAGAAAATAGCAATAATTACTTTCTTGAGCTCTGTTGATAATGCTGTCTGGCACTTTTTAAAAAGAATTTTGGTTGATTCTAATGTTCTTGCCACCAAGCATTTAAACTTTATTCAACTCTGTCTAGAAATAACTATTGGGAGAGTAGCAATGGGTGACTTTAAATTATTTTCTTATCAACCTATCAAGTTTGAGATCAAAATGATGAAATAAATAGCGCTCGTACCATGGTTTTATGTGCAGATTAAGCTGGCGTTGCAGCTGAAAGCAGCCGTCCTTGTCTGCTTATCCTGTCCCGTGCCTTTTCTGCCTCATGTCAGCACAAGTGCTTATGTAGCCGTGCAGTGAACTAGATTGGGGAAAACAAGGTTGGAGAAATGGTCTAGGTCTTCTCCAGTCTCCTGATTTAGAATTGGATTTAATCTATCTCTTTGATATGATTCACCGTGCATCTCCTGTAACACGTGAGCTTGGTGGGAGTAGAGGAGGACAAAAATTCATTGGCAGTATGTGCTCTACCTCCGGCTTGTGCCTCTGCAGAGTTCTTGGGACTGCAGCATAATCTCCATGGTTACATCTGTGTGCCCAGTCTAATTTTAGAGGACTCCTATCATCTACAGATGCAAGCCTTTTGTAGCAATAGACAAGAGGTCAGATGTTAAGGCTGATGCTGAAACAAAACAGATTTTGTTACAGGACCTGGTAAATAGGAAGGACCAGCTTTGAAACTTTTTTTTCCTTGCTACTCTTGGAGACTTCTTAGAAGATTTGGTGACTTAGATAAACTCACTCCTGCTCTCCCTCGTGTTTAACATGTGTGATAGGCTTTATGTTGAGTAGTGAGGAAAGAAGCGGGCCACAGCACTGCTAAATGTCCCCTTTCTTTCAGCTGTAACCAAATGTTTGTTTAATCTCCAAATGCCTGGCAGAATGTGTTCTGGAAGGAAAAAACTTGGTTCAGAGAAAGGGTGGTAAAAGAAAGATTGGGATCGTTATAGTGAGAAACTTCTCATGCAGACTCTCTGAGTAAGTGTGGCTACAAAAACCAGCTAGTTCACAGTTTTGTAAGTCTGCATTGTTGCTTCTGGCTTCTTACAAGCACAGTTTCCACAATACCATTTACCTTTTGAAAAAGATTTCACCCATTCATCTCCCATTCAAAGTTTGTTCATACCCATGGTCTTTCTGCTTCTAGGTTTCACCATGCTATGATTCATCTGAAGCTGGTTGTGACAGCCACCGGGAGTTTTTGCTAAAGCTGCATGTGCCTGCCTTCTCAGGAATTTGGATAGGTAAGAGCGCATGCTCCACTTTCTGTACTGTCTGACAGTCACCCTCTGGAGTAGTGCTAGTTGCCACAAAATCAGTGTTGGCTTTGTGACTGCTGATAGCACATAGTGTTTCATACAATACAGAACACGGGTGGTCTCCAGCAGGATGGATTACCCAGGTAGGCTGGCTGCCGCCGAGTGCCAGACTGTATCCCAGTCTGTTGCTGAATGCATCCTCTATACGTGAAAGCTTTTTTCAGGAGGGAGATGCAAGGGGACTAGATGGCTACTCCCTCCCTCTTTCTACTAGGTATTTGTAGAAGCGTTCCTAAAAGCAGGTTGGACTCTGTTCAGGCTGTGACAGAATGCCTGGTTTTGTCACATTTTTCTAAAACACAGTAGTTCTTGTAGGTGGTTTCTTTTAATCTACTTGTGAAACTAAACTCATGTTTTAAGGAAGAAAGGGATGATTATCTGAATGTGCCTGATTCTTGAAAAGGACTGGCTTTTAGTACATGATCTATCCTTTCACAGAGAAATATAATACACTTCTAGGGAGTTCGTGAAAAGATAAAAAGGATGCTGCAAGCGGGAGATGCTGCAGTTCTGCCCATGCAGCCTTGCCCTCTGCCTTGTATCAAATGCAAGTCCTTTGCGGGTGTGTAATGACCTGGTTCAAGAAGGTTGGAAAATTGCAGTGTGTGGTTTTTGGGGGTGGGGGGAGGAGGGACGGGGAGCAGTGGAGTTGGTTTTGCAAAGAGGGGCAGGGGTGGATTAGTTTTCAGACGGATTGGCTTCCTGAATTAACTCAACATGTTGTACAAGCCGTAGTGCTGCCTGAAGGGAGGTGACCAGAATACTTTCTAGGAACTGCAGGGAGAACAGCATTGAGATCTGAACTTAGATCAGTTTAAGCTGATTTGCAACCAGACAGTAAAAACACAGCCCCCTCCACTGAACAGATTTTAATGAACTGTTTATTAAAGAATGTTGAAAGCTATAGAGGTAGGATATGCAAAGGAAATCCAGTCTGGAAGTGACAAGCAGTGTAATAAACATTGCTACTAAAGAAAAAACCCTCCCTTGTAATGTCAGTTCATCAGTCTGGGATGCCTAAAGAAACAAATAGGTTTCTTATTCGAGAGTATCTGCCGTGTAGTTGTTGTTGCAGTTGTTTTGGCCAACGTTGTATCAAAAGTGTCAATTTAAATCTGTTCTTCCAAAATACTGTCAGCAAAGTGGCGTTGTGTCAGCAGAGGACTGCTTAGCCTCTGAGATTTGGTTTTATTGTAGCAACAAAACGTTTCCTTTGGAGGATGTCTGTATTGGAAACAAACATGTTTGTTCGCAGATCTAGAGGAGCCCTTGGAAAGGGCTGTTTTAATTATTTTATCTTTCCCCTTGAATCATCTTACCTTTTCACTTGGTACCATCTTTAGTGTTGATTCTTACCTGCAATCGTTATTGTGATTCTTTGATATGTAGCTCTCAAAGTTACGGACAGAGGAGAAAATGTGTCCCTCTCTTTTTCCCACCACACCACACAAAAGTTTGTTTTGTTTTGTTTTTGAAGTGTGTGGTCCCAAGAGACATTTTGATTCCAAACACTGTGTAGTGGGGCATGGACAGTGAAAAGGGGCTGTCTTGAGTTATGAAGTAAAAGCAGTCTCTTGGTTATTAATTTAAATTACTAGCGGAAAGTAAGTGAACAGTTTTTCCCCTTGCTATGTTTGGATTCCACAGTTTGGTTTTGGGTTTTTTTGTCATATACTTTCCATAAAGAATACCCAAGTAATTAAACTAATTTTTCCAGTGATGATGTCACCATGTTATACCACTGAAATACTTACTGAAGGTGGTAAGTTCCTTTTTATATACACACGCAATTTTTGTTCACTAATGGAAATTGTTTCCCTGTGGAATTTTTTAAATTGTTAAATTCCAGCTCATAACAAATCTACTTATACAAAGTTGTATTTAAAACTTCATTTGTTTCACTAGTAACAGTTCTGGTTGTTAATGAGGTCATAAGCTCATGGTCCTATAGACTCAGTCTTGTTTACTGAAATTCATGAACAGGTTTTACAGTTGGGAGTTAAACGTTTTAGTAAAGCATATCCATGTTAACGGGTAGCTTTTTTAGAAATAGTAACATGCTCCGATAAAGTTGATTTTTGTTTATGTTTCAAATATGGACTCTAATTTGATTTGTAAAGATATTTAGGTGCAAGACATTCAGCAGCATAAACTTAGTTTTGTTAGATTCCCCACATTCTTCTGTCAACATTGACAGAATAAAACTTGTAAAATTCTGCATGCAACTTAACCTGACGCTGCTTATTTCTCCTTGACCTGCACTTAAAATAAAGAGGAGGACTGAGGGAAGAGGAAGGGATGGTCACTGTGCTTAAGTGGCTGATGTTGACTCTAAGTTATATTTTGTAGGATAGCATTTAAAGCTGCTGGTTTTATCTGTACTATTCTTTTCCTGTTGATAGGTTGAAGCCCCGTGGCTTTATTTATCACTGGTAATAAGGCCTAGTTGCTTGGGGTGGGGTTGGGGTAGGAAAGGTTTTGCCTCAGTGATGCTTGCTCTTTCATGGGGACATGTTTAAGAGCACATAGTGCTATGTTTCCTGTAGTGGGAGACGGCAGCTGTATGGGTACCATATGTCTGAATAGCCAGGAGGAGATGTAGAGAGTTGTGTTCCTTTCTGAGATTTTGCAGGTTTTCATTTTTTCAGAAATTTCCCCAAGGTTTAGCTGGTGATTGTACAAAGGGTTTCTGTTATTAGGATTGTGTAGGTCTTGTACTTAAAGCTGTTTCCATGAGGAGTCTGAAGAAAGTTGCAAAGAACCTCTGCAATTAGTGCTTATAGTCTTGGCCTCCTTATAAAGAAAGGAAAGGTGTTGCTTGAGGAGTGCATGTGTGTATTTTGTGTGCATGCATGTACCTGTGCACGCATGCACCTGAGAGAGAAAGGGAGTAGGGGTATTAGATACTCTCATTGATGCACATATGTTCCCAAGTTAGCGATTGCCTTCGGTAATGTTTTTGTACTGTGGTATTGCAATGATAACTACAGTTATTATCTTTAAATGGAAAAGAAATAGAAAGTGCTTAGTATATTTTTACCTTCTTTTATGTTTAAAAACAATGTGTTGAATTACGAGAAGTTGGCATGTGATAGTTGGGAGATTATTTAATGTACTCTAGAACTGGAGGATTACAATTGGACCACTCAACAAAATTGGATAATGTTCTTAATAGCTAAATATGTCCATTATAATAGGAAATGGGTGTTCAGGAGAAAAGTTTCACCTTCATTTAATTGTGTATGAGACTGAAAGAATTGTATATGAGTGAACAAGAAGAGGAAAGCCTGGATCCCATTAATTTTTGGCTACCCGTAAGCTGGCAAGGGTTTTATGCTTTGATCACTGTTTTCTTAGTCTGGAATGACTGAAGACTTAGTGGTATGGATTGTAATGATCCATGCTCTTTTCTGTGATGGGCACCTGTTGACTAGGCAGGCCAAAAATGAGGGTGCATATGCTATGTCTGCAAACTTCCCAATTTCAGAATGGTTAGGCACACCCAAGTAAGCTTTAATCTAGCTAGCCTGGATTAAAAAAGATTGCAAGGATTTAACAGCATGGATTTTAGCATAGCCTGGTTGAGGCTGTCAAGGGGTCTGGGTGCTTAATCCTTGCAATCCTATGCCCTGGAAATTGAGTGGGTTTTGTAAAACTCATATTATTGAGTTTTGTAGCTTGCATAAATGTGGAGAGCTGTTGGTAGATTAAATACATATGTTATTCTGTGTATGAATTTTCCCTAGTTTTACCTTTAAAATGTGGAATGTAGTATAACTTAGAACTAGTAACTATGTACTTAGTACAATGTATGATTACAAATCTACACTGATTGACAAACAAGATGTTTTCTGTAGTTGATCCTGCTATATTAACATTTTGTGGGACTGGCTGGTGAAGCGTGAGCAGCCCTGGTATTTTGAGTTTCTGCGTGGCTTAGCTTGCGTATTACTAAAGTACAACGTGCTGTGCTTCTTAAACTTCACAGCAACGGATTTCTGCAGTTAAAAGACTTTTCATTTTTGCATGTTAGTAATAAGAATCGGAAATTAAATCTAAGATACTGAACAGAATTGGAATCTGTGAAGCGGGAAAAGCAAGTAAGTTCATGGACTGAATAAAAAAACCCAAACAACCAACACACACAAAACAAAACAACAAAACGACACACACACCCCAACCCCCCAAAAACCAAAACCAAACAACAACAACAAGACCCCCAAAACAAAAACCAACCCAAAAACCCAACAGAAGGGATCATAGAGTAGTATAATTGGAATCAGGAACTGTGAACTTCATGCCTCTGCTGCCCTTGACTAGTAGTGTTATTCCTCCGTTTCATTTTTTTCCTGTAGAAGGAAAATGCTTGGATCTTTTGTAAAGTGTTTTGAGAACATATGTTACTGCTACAACTGCATTGACTGTTAGATTTCCTAAATGCATGCTTCAGAACACCAAGGTGAAATACAGCATTTATTTGGAAAGCATACAGTTTCAATGAAAACTTTTCTCAGAATTTGGAAATGAGAAATTCTTAAATAATTCCATCTATCTGAAAACAAAAGAAACCTGGTTTCTAGCCTGAACTTGTTTAGGTGTAGTTTCCAGTCACTAGTGGTTCTTTTATATCTCTGCTTGATGAGAGATCAAATTCCTTCCTTTGCTTGCTCTCTGTGTTCTTCCTATAGGCGTTTTTTTTCTTCCAGTTTTTCAGCATCCTTCTTGAACTGCAAAATCAAAAACTAATTGCAGTTTCTCTGCACCAAACAAAGTAACGTAACTGCTTTGCTCTCTTATTTGATATTTTTGCTTGTTTAAACATTAGTGGATTGCATAAGATTAGCCATAACTGTGTTGTGAGTTTTCTGTTGTGTACATAGATTCAAAGAAGCTAACTAGTAAACTGGAGTAGTGCACAAAATTGT